CGATTCACACAACTATTTCAACACACGTCCCATGATCTGTCTTAACAGAACTACCTTCTGAGGCGGAAATCCGTAAGGAGACCCAAGCCTTGAAACGTCACAAATCGCCGGGCTCCGATGGTCTTCCCCCAATTCTATTCAAAGATGGTGGAATAAAGCTCGCCGGGGAAGTGGTGACTCTGTTCTCTAAAGTATGGCACACTGAGCAGGTCCCCTCCTCGTGGGAGGAATCGATTGTTGTCCCCATCTTTAAGATGGGTCCGCGCAGTGACTGCGCCAACCATAGGGGTATATGTATTATCCCAATAGCGTCAAAGATCTTAACGTTCATCACTCTTCGCAGTTCGGACAATACACATGAAGAGCAAACTCTCAAGGAACAAGATGGGTTTCGCAGCAGTCGTGGACACACCGATCGAATCGTCACCCTGCTAGAGCACTGTCATGCTCTCCAAAAGCTAATGATCATTTTGTTCCCGGATATCCGCGAGGACTTCGATTCCGTCCACAGGACTGCGCTATGGAACTGTTTGAGGAATGGAGTACCTGAGAAGCATGTGTCGAGCCTCGAGTCGAGTTGGAGCCTATGGCTAGTCTTCGTTACTCCTTGCCGCCTAGAGTGGAGTTCGACAAAGCTGACCTATATCCCTATTCCTCTTCAACTTTGTCATACAGGATGTTCCATTACGCGCCTTGTCCGGTCTAACAAACGGTGGAGTCAAACTCCTCCCAGGGAACAGAGTTCTTGACTTGGAATATGACGATGACATCGCCTTGTTCGGTTACAACACACAAACAGTACAACAAGCATCGCCGCGGTTCGTAGTGTTCTGCTTTACGGTCATGAAACCTGGCCCGTGCGATCAAGAGATGCTAGCCGACTTTCCGTATTCAACCACCGATGTCTTCAAAGCACTGCTCGTGGGAACATCGGGTGAACAATGACGAGATTTGTCGTCGTGTGCTGGGTACTGATGGCTGTTTGCTAGCGAAAGTAATCGCTCTACACCATCTCCGATGCTTCTATCACGTTTGCACGTACCTGCCCATCATCCATCTCTCCGTGCTTTCTTTGCACGAGCTGGGCAGGGTTGGAAAAAGCGCCGCGGCGGTCAGACCATGATATAGCGCAGAGGCATGAAGATGTTAGCCTCAGCATTGGCTTCGGTTGTTTCAGCCCACCTTCCAGGAGAGGGATGAGGATTACCGATTATTAGAGACACTGAAAGATATGGCTCAGAATACTAGTCAGTGGCACGATTGCTGTGCGGTTTGTTTGTCGACCTCCCGGTCCCCATAACATACAAAAAGAGCATAAAAAGTGCACCATCACAAATATATTCATTTATTCATTGTTTTTCTCTGTCATCTACCTTCCCCATTTTCAGTTTCTCTTTCTGTACCCTTTCCTACTTTTATCACTGTTTTTGCGTTGGCACCATGCTTGTTCTCAAGCCGGTGTGAAATATATATGGATCGCGGTTTTCTCACACAGCCCCGATGCCTTGCGGGTCAGGCCTTGCTTAGCCAAAATCTCCGGTTGTGGATTCCCCAAGAAAATTCACCTGCCTTGGCTTGGCAGCATTCGGCCCACTTGCAAATCATGGAGCTTTTTTTAATAAAGATTATTGTACCACGATTTGTTTGGCACACAGTCTGGTACCAGACGTCATCATAATAACCTTGTTTACAACCCCGATTGATTTTTGGATAGACAGCTCCTACAGGGCCAGTCCAATGAAGAATCAATGCAATGATTATATGTTTTTTACCTGGGTTAGATGCTACTAACTGCAACAAAAGTGACCTGAGCGTCTTTATAGAATAGTTCATAATAAGTAGTATATTATTGTCTAGTCAAGCATGTACTACTTATAATGATATGTAATATAATTTCACACAAATCGATTTCTCCTCGTCATTTCATACAATAACAACCACGTTGACACACAAATAGCACCAGCGCGTACCAACCAGATTTTATATAGCGAACTGAGACCCAGTACGAATCTGTGTTCAACTATACTAATACTTAACATAACTGACAACAAGCTCCGAGGATTGATCAGATTCCTTGGTGCGCTCGTGCCACAGGGATTTGGCCTAGAAAGGATAAAACTGGTCAATAGACTTAGACCTATCATATCGACAACTCTGGATATGGCAGTGAGGAGATAAAGAGTTGACAGATTACGGCTGTGAACACAAGTATGGAAAATGGCAAATGAAATCGGTAAACGAAACTTACCAGGCCACTCATTCAAAGACGAACGAGCCGAACAAATTCCAATCGCGATTGGTCTGCAAAAATTGACAAAAAACAGCGAACTAATTCATGAATACGTTGTCACATGCTACAAAGGGTGAATAAATTTGATATCATTGTCGGACCGGTATCATCAGTTCCAGTGAAGGCTGTTTTGCTTGATTTTATGTGCAGTTCATTCTTCTCTTCCGAAAAAATAGTTCGGACAGATAAAGCACGACACAAAGTGAGGCCTCAGCAGGTGGCGGGTGGTGATCGCTACGTCACAGTGCCGCCGGCGAACTAATGCGGTATCTCACAAGAGACCATTCGTCTGATAAAACCTCACTGCACCCTCGAGCACTGCTGCCGATCGTCCCTGAGCGCCTATTTAGAAAGTTTTTCCTTACTATATTTCCGGTTCACCATTGGATTGGTGGCTAACATCATATTCGGTACCTGGGAGTGAACCTTATAGCATACAGTACTTCCTTCGGGTGTGGCATGACATTCAGGTCAGCGTCAAAGTTTTGATGGAGCAAATACTTAAAAGCTAATGCTTTTTGAGTTCAAGAGGCCATTCCCACAGATGAACCGTATAATTTGACAAAGAGAAACCCTGTATATAATCTCACGTATAAGGAATGCTTCATGATGCAACTCCACACAACAGTATCTATATGTTACTTAGGTTCACAAGTGGACTCAAATCGACCACATCGCCATCGGTTACCGTTGGAGGTCGTCGATTCAAGAGTGCAGCTTCTATTGGTTAACACCTGTGGATACGGACCACGCTTTGCTACCAGCCACATTCTCCATACGCCTGGCAAACAACCGTAATAAAGCCACCGAAAACGGATACCTACGATACAATGTCAGCGACGGTTCTAATCGGCCTTCGAAGCGGAACTCTCCGATCGCCTCTCCGTTCAACAACCAGCCGAAGGACTCAACGAACACTGGAAGCAAATCCGGAAAGCTATGCGGATATCGATAAAAACAACTTTGGACCCTGCCCCAAGCTCAAAGCACAAACAATGGATATCGACAACCTCGGTTGCTCTGCCAGACGCCCGCAGAACCCTACCTCCGGATACCGTTTGTGACACAGCGCGCAAATCCGTTAAACGCCAGCCCACCAAGAGTCTGGGGAATGACCGCGACAAGTGGTGGATAGGAAAGTGTAGAGAGATAGAGAATGCTGTGGCTATTGGTAATAGTCACAATCTTTTACGTCTAATTAGGAATACGGGTCCTAGGAAAATTAGCGTGAGGTAATTAAGGAATCCGATGGCACACTGATTCACGATCAGCAACACCGTCTTGATCGATGGACTGAACATTTCGAGGCTCAGTTCAACTGACCCCCAGCGACNAAGCGTGAGGTATTTAAGGAATCCGATGGCACACTGATTCACGATCAGCAACACCGTCTTGATCGATGGACTGAACATTTCGAGGCTCAGTTCAACTGACCCCCAGCGACATCTTGACTATCACCCTCCACCGCGGCTGCGCGAATTCTGCCAGTCCTCCATCTGAAATGGAGGTTTCCCGAGAAATAAGCTATCTAAAAAGGCATAAGGCCTGCGGCACAGACGGGCTCTCTCCATCCGTTTGTAAGGATGAAGGTTTAGCATTGGCTTCGGAGTTGACGGAACTCCTGGACTCAGTGTGTGAGGGAACAGGTTCCAACTGAATGGTGTGAATGGGTCATCATACCTATTTATAGGAAAGGTTACGAGTTCTGTAAAAACCACAGCTGAACTATGCAGTTTTTACTTTTCATCAGCTCCAAAGGAAGATCAAAATTAGACTACTGGTGAAGAGTGTTACAACGAAATCGCAGGGATTATAGTAATCTCATTACTTGAAGGCACAACTTGTACTTGCATGATTGTCTTACTTTTGATTCTCAACAAAACAAGAAAGGACTGAGTCATCGTGGAGACTTATGAGAACCGGTCGACAGGTTGCTAGGTTAGACAGCTCAAATCGTACTACCTTCCCGTGAAATAATGATACCTTATTTTAACTTGAATAGACTTGTTGAGTTGTTCTCGGAAATCCAAGATCACAGTGTTAATCATCAAACGGTATGTTGCAAAATTACTCAATGGAGCTGAATTTTATTGTTGGAGGGATGGCTGAAACCTGACGTCTTCAGTGCTCGAAAGTATATCTGTGGGGCTTTGCGTGTGATATTCGTCTTGCGATCACTGTAAGGTATTCTGAAGACTCGCAATTCCAACGGCACGTTGTAGGTTAATAATGTTTCATTACTAAAGAAATAAGAACAAAGTGGAACTGCGGAGAAATTTCTTTTCGATGTATCGCTTTAGGCATTTACGTATACAGTCCCATTAGTCAGTTTATTCGCACTTAGCCCTAAACTGATATCGAATGCTTGTGTGTGTGCAGTGTTTAGTTGCAAACAAGCTATGGGGTCGCGATAAATGAATGGTAATATGTGTGAAGTGGACACAATACGAATCTCTTAAGCAAAATGTCGAAAAGAAAGTCCTTCGCGTTTCCACTTTTCTTGTGCATCAGTGGGTATATTTTACGAAAAGATGTGTTATGAAAGCATGCAGATTTGACTGGCATCAAAACCGAATCTCATCTGTTCAACACCGACACAATTTCCTAATATCACTTTTTGTATGCCGTCGCATCATTTGCAGTTTATTGAGTCCAACCCACGGTTATTGTTTCCTTCTATCGAATAATGTTTTGGTAAAGCTTATCTCTCATGGGCATTGCGCTAGACCACCTCTCCTTTCAAGGTTCCTCTTGCTCGCGATCCTTTGCGGTCATCCCATTTCAGATATGCAAAGAACAGAACCGCCCTGTTACCACACTCTCAGCTCCTGTGATCTCTCCAACCACTCCGACTCCAGTTCAACGAAACTCCGTACAGGCGCTTAATCCCGGCGAATCGCTGAGGATGGCACAGAAGCGTCCCAATCCGTCAAGTTCGATCGAGTCGTCTCCGGATACCACACTGAATGGTTCGTGTGCACCCCACTCGACCTCAGAGGAGGCGCTGTCCACGAACTCAGTGCATGCAGATCCTGCGATCGCTGGACAGCGTACGCGCGAACACAGTCTAACCATCAGTCAGGCACCCATTCGGCTCTGTTTGGATTCCACCGAGAATGGAACTAATCAGGGCACTAACATCTACAGTCGTACTTGCAATAACAACAATAGCAATGGGATCATCTCACCCCCTTCAAAACCACTACCACAGCACTCAGCTCCGTTGCCAGTCTATCCATGTTATCGGGAGGCCCAAAATTACCGCTCGATAAATCCCGTGTCCCTCACTTCAAGCGAGTCTGAGTCGGAAAGTGCACGGGTCAGTTCAGTAAACCTAACTTTGCAATTCACTCTGAATCACTTAGTTGTTTTCCAAGGACGCGTTTTTGTTGTCTTTGAATGGTACTCATTACACAGTCTTGCCGGTTTCGGTGTTTCGTATCAACGATGGTAGCTTGTATTTGGAAAATTCTCTTTTACTGTACACTTGCTTCAGGTGACCTATACCTATTCAGTTTCAAGCGAATTCGCCGTAACTTCATATGAATCCAACCCATCGCATGCTAACAGGAACCCAACAAATTGTCAAGTCAAGTCAAGTATTTGCTTTATGCACCCCGAAAGGTAGATATTCAGCAGTTACATAGTCATCTAACAGTTATCGAACAAGATTATTACATAATTATCGTGAGCAGTGAAAATGAATACAATTACGAGATAACTGAGTAAAGGTCCGAAGCAATGCTTTTTGCGCTGACAAGAAATCGGGCAAGATAGGGCACCACAGAAGACCGATAAGCGGTCGTACGAGCAAATATACACTTATAACGGGACCGGGTGGAAGAGGAGGAAACACACTTGATAAGATCTTGATGTAACGGATGTGAAGGGTTATCCAAGATTTTTGTTGATAACGAAAGACATGACTTTTTATGTTGGGAAATGATGAAGTGACAGATAGTTTCACGGGAAATCCCACTGCTTCTAGATAGATGTGTTAATGATCTGGAAAGCAGTTTAAAGTCTTTTTTGAGCATCCCTGGAAAGATTACTGGGGACCCATACAACCATAGGGGTAGAATACAGGCAAATAGAAAACGTTTAATCAAGAAGCGAGGGACAGATAATGTTTTCAGTCATAAGACATTAAATGACAGTTTTCTGACCTTTACAAATACAGGGACAACTTGGTCAGACCAACATACGTTTCGGTTTATTAACACACCAAGATACTTGACGTTCGGGGGTTGGACAATAGTGTCATTGCCTATGTTCAAAGGGGGACAAGATTCCAAGAGATTAGTATAACGGTTCCCTCTGTGAAGTGAGAACAACATGTCTACATATTTAGAGGGATTGAGAGTTAGGTTATGCTCAGCGGACCACTCAGCAAGGTTAGTAAGGCCAAGTTGGAGGGTGGGGGTGACACATGCATTAGGGTGGGCGATTCCGACTACAACATTGTCCATATATTTAATGAGGGAATTTTGTAAAGTAGGCGTGGATGAAATATAAGTGGAAAAAAACGGATAGATTGGCACCCTGTAATATGCCTAATGT